GGGATAGGGCCTGGCAGGGGTCCCTCCATGGTCCCCTCTCCCCTCCTCCAGCCCCCCCTTCTCCGCCCCCTACTTACCTGCTCTGAATCTTGCTCCAGCTCCCTGCTGCAGCAGGCGGGGACTGCCCGAATTATTGAAGCTCTCCAAAACTTTTCCAAAGATTTGGAGAGCTTCGAATCAGTTCAGACCTTTTTATTGGTCCCCTGATTTGATTCGGATTTGGAGATTCGGCCACCGAATCAGACCAAATCTCCAAATCGAATCAGCACCTGAAGCTTTGCACAGCTCTAATGTAATGCTGGCAGCAAGAGATGTGCACAGCAGGCAGGAGGATGCAGGAGGCTCATGCTGCTCACATGGCACCAGTCACATGTATGATGGTGGCACTGGAGGCTCACACAGCAACAGGTGGCCAGAGGCCTGCATGCAGTGAGGGAGGGGTCCTAGGGAGTCCATGAGGCCCCTGCAGCATGTAGCCTGCACAGTGTGCAGCCTGGGCCCTGTGACCTGTGTGGCATACCGTTCCTGGCAGCTCTGAAGTTGGATGGCCCTGGTCTAGTGTGTACATCTTAGCTTGTTAATGAGAATAGTGTGGAAAACAGCATCAACAGTACTGCATCCACAACTTCTCCCCTTCCCCTCCCCGCCCCTGTCACCTTGTGTGTCTTCTGTCCACACCACCACCCTTTGCATTGGCACAGTTTGTTCGTGCCCTTAATATTGATCCTTAAAGAAATTGACAGATATTCTGAGGTCCTTTTCCCCCTTAGACTTGCTTCCTCAGGGAACTGGTCTGCCAAGTCTCTCTCAAATCAAACCAAGAAATTTTGGGGTGGGGTCCGAAGTCTGTTGTCATTATTCTGCTCTTCTACTTTGCATACATCATGAGCTCTATCATAGCAGGATCATTTGTTTAGGAACTTGGTTTCAGAATAATTTTTTTTTTATATTATAGTGTTAAAAATAAGGTGTTCCGTATTTTATATGCCTAAATTGGGTGTATGTTATTATTCAGTTATTAAAAAGTTAAGGTGATTTGATTTGATTTGATTTGATTTGTTTTCTTTCCACAGCTGATGTTACAAAATTCTCTCTGTGCCCTGAGACCTGAAAAAAATGGGATTTATACATTTCTACGGACACAGTCACCTTACTAAGTATGACCAGCTTGGCTATAGAAGTCTATCGCAAAAAAAAAAAAAGGCTTGAGATTATTTTAGAGTAATTAACTGTACATTTGATACACATGCCATGGACAGATTTTTCTAGGATCTGGAGACACTGCTGCTATTGACAAAAGGCTGCACCTGAATGAATTTCCCCACCTTCTTATTATTGTATACCTGTCTTCCTTATAAGGAAAACAAGGAAGTGTGATAAAGAACAGTGTTGAGCTCCATAACCATGTTGAAGTTGCTTTTATGCTCAGCCTGCCTTCTTTACCTATCCAGGTAGCTTTTGTTCTCATTCTAATTAATTTTCTGTCTGGTTAGTTTTGAAATTTCTCTGTAAACCAGTGTAAGTAACATCTTAAAACGTACACTTCAAGGCACTGATTTTTACAACATTCTGCACTTACATGGATGATAATTAATATGTTAAGATTTTTGTTTACACAGCCAGAACTGAAAACGAATGGGGATTGAATTGCTTTGCCTGTTCTTTCTATTTCTGCAAAGAACTAACAATGTACAAGGTAAGGCTCACAGGTAGTGAATTTTATTTCTTTAAAAGTGCAGTTAGCATTGTTTTATGCTTAGCAACTTAATATACACTGGCTCTTAGTGTTGTCTATTCAGTCATTCTTTCCCACTTAATGATTTACGATTTTTTTTTTTAGTAGGGGGGCAGTATGTCTAGTCTGTGAATGTACTTAAGATTTACATGTTCATAAGACAGTACTATGTGTATCAAACCTGCACATTTTTGAGCCAATGTAGTTATGTAAATTAAAGTTTGATCTGTTGTGACATTTCAAATTCCGTTCCTGGCTCTGCTTGTTTCTGTGCTATTTAACATCCTTTTAACTTATCAACTACCTTAAAAAGCAGAACAAAATGAATGCAAGCATGTATACAGGACTAATTCTTTAAAATTTCTGGGTATGCTGAGAATATATTAAATCTATAGCTCATGAATTAAACTTAGCAAGTAATGAAACATACGTTTCTGATAGAGGAGTAATCTTGTGGTATCCAAAAGTTATTTTTTCTAAAAATTGCTGCTAATACTTGTATGACTGGTAAAGTTAAACATTAGCCCCGGGGAAATAAAACTGATAAAGGTAAATATTTTAAATGATGGCATTTTAGCAATATTCTTAATTAATATACAGTAGTTTCCTATATTTTACTTTCAGCAGTTTGAAAAGAAAATACATTTAGGTAAACTGAATCAGTAAGCCTATTATTACTCTCTCTTATCTCCTGAATTTAAATCTAGGAAGTTGTACACTGGAGAGTGTGGTGACGTGTGAAGATTGTTTGCTTTGTGGACCCCGCTTTGCTTGGTGTTTTCAAGAGGTAAAGTAAATCATCTAAAACTTTCAAAGCATTACAAGTCTAAATGTTTTCATTGGCTATGATGAATCAATTATTGACTAAATTGGGACAGGTTCTGATTTTGCAAGGCACAAAATACTTTGTACAACTTTTCTGGGAATCAAAAGTGGAATAAATATGTAGAAAGCATAGTCTACTGTTCATTCTTAACATTTCTTTAAAAATGCCCCGGACCTAGCACCTATTTTTCAGCCTCTTAAGGAAGCTTGAGTCATCATTCTGGATGTGATTATTTTGGGATTTCCCAGTTCCTGGGGTAAAGGATGGAGTTCCCAAGAAAGGGATGTTTTGTGGCTAGAGCAGGAGGGTGGCAAACCAGGAAGCTGGATTTTTTGGGGGAGGTATTTCTCTCCAGTTTCTGAGCAAGTTACTCAACCTACCTCAGTTGTTCATCTGAATAATAAAATCTCCCTACCATACATCACTTGTTTTGGCTTTTAATTGGTTAGTATTTGTGCAGAGGCTGGCTATTGTAATTACCAGCTTGATAAAAAAAAGCTATAAGTAAATAAAAAGAGCAGCATCCAGCAAGAGCATTATGCTTGTCTTTTTAAGATAAAATGTGAAGAGTTATGTGGCTCAGAGCTTCTGATGTTCTGACTACTTCCTGTGGCACCTAGCTTTAAAATCTAGAGGTTTTGGCTGATATAAATGTCATGTATGGGCAGAGAGAGCTTTGTGAATCCCCATCAACTAATATCTAGCCAGTCAACTGATGATGGGGCCCATGAAAAGCCAGTTATAAAATTACTAACTAGCTAGGTATGTAGTGCAAAACTATTTCAAGTTACATAACTGTCTTGGACAACTGGACTGATTGTCTGGATTGATAACACAAGGACCCAACCCTACAAGGTGATGAGCCTCCAAATACCCATTATTTTCAGTTGTAAATAGGGCAGTAAGTACATACTAGGATTAGATCTTACAGACATGATAAATACATTATAAACGTGACGCATATAGATAAGACATCAGAGAAAAACCCCATAATTTATTATGGTACTTTATTATTCATGCCTCTCTAGCTAAGGCTAGCGTTTAATAAAATATTAACTCTTTCCTTCAGGGATTTTGGGGGTTGAATAAAACAAATGTTGTCTAAAATAAAACTAACAGAAAATCTGTGCCTGAGACCAGTGGCCCATTGAGCTAGCACAGCTAAAGCATACTAGGTGCTAGTATTTGACTCCCCAACCCAAATGACCAAATTCCCATCTGGGGTCACCTGGGGGCTCAAACTCATGTCCCTCTGGCCTCTGCTAGATACCTTAACCACTTTTCAAGTGTGCTGGCAAGACTGACTTGACCCTCTACAAAGGGTCTCACTAGGATCAAAAGGTGCTGTTTCTGTTTTATAATCCATTTTTCACCACTAGCAATTTAGGAAAAGGCAAGGAAGAATACTGCAAAAGCCAAAAACAGAGTGTTTCTAATGCTTTTTATGTGCTTATATAATCCACAAAGCAGGATTTTCTGAATGTGAAAGTTTGTGTGCTCTTAAATCATAATTTAAATATTGTTATTGGAGCCTGCAAAAAGCACAAATGAAAAACAATTTCATTCTTGAGTTTGGCAATAAAATGTATACCCCCTGTGTACTAATTGAATATTCAATGGAATTAATCATGAATTTTATATCACATGTAAGATGTGGAGCACACAAAGAATGTGCCTATTTAAAAGACTGAGCTTTTCAGCATCAGGATAGATTTCCAAAGGAGCTATAATAGTCTATTGGATAAATACACACATTTTAACTAGCTCTGAAATATGTGTTTATCTGATAATGCCTGTTTTAGTTTAGTTATGGCAGATGATATGGTTTCTCCTCAAGTGCTTCATAATAGTAGGTGATTTTAACATAGACGGGGTTTGATCCGTCTGTCAATAAGTTTTGCCTAAGTAAAAACTCAGAATCTGACCAAACTACAAAAAGGCATTCTTCCCCTCATATGTATCCAAATTCTTTCCACTGAAGTAACTGAAAGCCCTAGACACATTTATCTGAGGACGAATTTAGCATTCTATAAGAAATGAAGAGCAGTGACACCTTCCCTTTTAACTCTGACTTTCTGACATTTTATTTTTTCTTGATTTATAATACCCACCACAATTTTAACAGAATGTTTTTCAGTGATGACATTCAGGGGACATTTGTGGTCTAATAACTAAAGCCTAAATTTTTCATTGAAGCACAAGAAAAGCATGGGACCAGTGGCATGTGCACATGGTTGTACAGTGCCAAATACTGATCCCAACTCTGACACAGACTCCCTTTGGTCTTTGGTCAAACCAGTTTGGGCTAAAAGACAGACTTAGTTCTGCACCATCTACCCAGGCTCCTTATTTAGTATATAGGGAGAGTTGGGCACCTAAGACTGGGATTCACAGAAGCCAACACAACGGGTGAGAATCCCCCTGAACTAGCCAATAGGAAATGCTAAAGAGAAGATGGGAGTATAAGCCCTGCTCTTCAAATGTAGTTAGTATTCATAGTGATTAACCCCCTCTTGGAGTTAAGCATCTGATCCAGCTCAGTCCTTCTTTGCAAACATAATTTATTTTTTTTTAAAGAAAGAAAAAAACACAGAGCAGGGAAAGAAGAGGTATTTAAATATTAAATACACATTGAAACATACATAGGTCCAAGGAGGGCTGACAAGGCCAATCCGGCTGCTCTTGGGGTGCAAAGTCAGTGTCTATGCTTTCTCTAGCCCTGTCAATATTGTACAAAATTCAGTGGTTTCAACACAATAGACTGAGAATACCAGGTTACCCTGTACCCAAGGGATAAAAGTATGCATTTTGAAGGCAGAAGACCTTGATTCACCCCTGCTCCAAATCAAGTATTGTAGGATTTGAATCTGTACCCACTATATCTCAGGTGAATATTCTGACCATTGGACTAGTAGTTAGGCAAGCTCTAAAAACTCTGTCGGGTCCCTCATGTGAAATCAAAGGGAGAAAAAGACTTATTTGAGAATCCCATCGTTGTTTGGGCATCAGACAACTCAGTGGCATCAGGACTTGTAGGCATGGCCAGTGACAGGAATTCAGACACCTAGGGAACTGTATTGATAGAAAACTATGGAATTTAAGGGTGCCTATACATGTGCTCCAACATGTTCTAGTTAGATTAATCAAGTCTGCTGGAGCATTCTAATTAGAATGCTCCAGCATGCCTCACTGTCACATGTATTCAGCATCCCACGTTTCAAAATTGTGGTGGGGGCCCTTTAACTAAAACTCATTGAATGAGCTTTAAGTTAAAACGCCCTTGTGGCCATTTTGAAATTCAGGACACTAAATACATGTGACACTGCAGCGTTTTAATTAGAGAAACTTTCCAGGAACCGCT